AGACTTTAAGTGGTACAAAGATACTTTTATGTTTAGAGTTTTAACCAGAGAAGATTGTAACTAGGCCTATTGGAAGGAGAAATACCTTAATGGCCTTCCCAAGTCTTTCGGAGATCTTATTAGAAGTAAACTCTGAAGTCATTCCCCTAATGGAGATATTAATTATGATAGTTATGACTATGATCAGCTTACTGCCATTATTATTCATAATGCTATCAAAGTTTGTCAAAAAGATAAACTCCATAAATAGCTTGCCAAAGAGAGAGCACTAAACAAGAAAGATTTAAGATCTTTCTGCAAGCAATTTGGTCTTCCTTCTTGCTCTACCAAAAAGAAAAAACAGATTCCTAAAAAAGAAACTGTTGAAACTTATAAGAAACCTTACAAAAAGAAGTATAATAGGAAACCTCCTTCTAAGAAACAAAGGGAAAATGTCATTCCCAACAATATCCCTAAGAAACCTAGAACAGGGGTAACTTGTTATAACTGTGGTAAATCCGGCCATATCAGTAAATACTGTAGGCTTAAGAAGAAGATTAGTAGCCTCAATCTTGATAGTTGAGGACCAAATCAACAACCTCCTTATTGAATCTTCTGATGAAGGTTCTGCTAAGGAAACCAATGAAGATGTCACTCAAATTCAACATGATGATCAAATCTCTTCTTCTGATAGTGATGATACTCTAGAAATCAATGTTTTAACAAAAGAACAAGATCTTCTTATAGAAGCAATAAGTTTTATTTCTGATTTTCATGAAAGAAAAGAACTTTTTAACAAATTTAAAGATATTTTAGAAGAAAAACCAAAACCCAAAGAACTTTTTACTACTAATAAGTTTGATATAACAAATATTTTCAAAAAATTAGAAAAGAATTTTAATATTAAACCTACCACTATCCAAGATCTTCAGACTAAGATTAACAATCTCAAAAAAGATATTAGAGATATCATAGAACAACAACAAATTCATCAGGTCATTTTTTCCAAACTTGAAGATGGTGATGAATCTGAAGTTGAGAAAGAGAAACCTCTTGAAGATAATGATTCTGAAAAAATTGATTATGGTAATTTGGAAGAAACTTTTATGTGTTTGATCAACAAGGTCAAAATTCAAAAATTCTATATTAACATCAGAATCATTATTGATGATTTTGTTCTTGATACTTTAGCACTTTTTGATACAGGTGCCGATTCAAATTGTATTTTGGAAGGATTAATTCCTACAAAATATTTTGAGCAAACCTTTGAAAAACTCAGCACTGCTAGTGGTTCAAAGCTCAAAATTAATTATAAATTATCCAAAGCTGTTATAGAAAATCAAGGATTTAAGATCAAAACAAACTTTCTCCTTGTAAAAAATTTGAAAAATGAAGTGATTTTAGGAACACCTTTTATTAAAGCCCTCTTCCCACTTCAGATTTCGAAAGAAGGTATTTCTACCTATCATTTAGGTAAGCAAATAACTTTCAAATTTTCTAGTAAACCTTTTTCTAAAAATATCAACTCTATTCAAAATAAAATTAATTAAATTAATTTCCTGAAAGAAGAAGTTTCTTTTGCTAGCATTGATAAATAGTTGAAAAATCCATCACTCAGATTAAGATTAAGTCTCTTTTAGAAAATATTCAATCTTCTATCTGTTCTGACTTGCTTAACGCATTTTGGAACAGGAAGAAACATATTGTTAGTCTTTCTTATGAGTTAAATTTTAAGGATAGCCAAATCCCTACCAAGGCTAGACCCATTCAAATGAATGAAGAACTCCTTCAATATTGCCAGAAAGAGATCAAAGATCTCTTAAACAAAAAACTCATTAGAAAAAGTAAGAGTCCTTGGTCGTGTTCTGTTTTTTATGTTAATAAACCTGCAGAGTTAGAAAGAGGTACTCTCAGATTAGTTATCAACTACAAACCTCTTAACCAAGCCCTCTAATGGATTAGGTATCTTATTCCCAATAAAAAAGATCTTCTTAATAGACTAAATTCTGCTAAGATCTTTTCAAAATTTGATATGAAATCTGGATTTTGGCAAATCCAAATTTGTGAGAGTGATAGGTATAAGACCACATTCACTATCCCCTTTGGGCATTACGAATGGAATGTTATGCCCTTTGGTTTAAAAAATGCCCCTTCTGAGTTTCAGAAAATCATGAATGATATTTTTAATCCCTATTCAAAATTTGTCATTGTCTATATTGATGATGTCTTAATTTTTTCCCATTCTATTGATCAGCATTTTAAACATATAAATGTTTTTATCAATGTTATCAAACAAAATGGACTTGCTATTTCCAAGTCTAAAATTAATCTTTTTCAAACTAATATTAGGTTCCTTGGTCACAATATTCATTAAGGAACTATCATTCCTAATAGCAGATCCATTGAATTTGCTGACAAATTTCCTGACAGAATCTTTGATAAAACCCAGCTACAAAGGTTTTTAGGATGTCTTAATTATGTAGGTGATTTCATTCCACACCTCAACAATATTGTTAAGCCTTTACATAATAGGCTTAAAAAGAATCCTCCTTCATGGACTGATGTTCATACCAATGTCGTTAGGGATATTAAAAATAGAGTCAGAGAGATAAGTTGTCTTTATCTCCCTATTCCTCAAGCCTTCAAAATTGTTGAAACTGATGCCTCTGACATAGGTTATGGTGGCATTCTCAAACAAAGAGTCGAGTCACATGAGCATATTATTGCATATACTTCAAAATATTGGAATTCTGCACAACAGAACTATTTAACTGTTAAAAAAGAAGTTTTAGCAATTGTTTTATACATTTCAAAATTTTAATCTGATTTGTTAAATCAAAAGTTTCTTATTAGAGTAGACTGCAAGTCTGCTAAAGAAATTTTACAAAAAGATGTTAAAAATCTTGCCTCAAAACAAATCTTTACTAGATGGCAAACAATTTTAAGTGTTTTTTATTTTGATATAGAATATCTCAAAGACATTGCTAATTCTCTTCCTGATTATCTTACTCGTGAATATTTACAGGATAAGTGAGATGCCCAAAAAGGCAATAACCCCTTCTAGGGGTGGTAAAACATCCAGAGGAAGAGAAAGAGTTAGGCTAGCCCTGACTCTCAATAAATCAAAATCAAAGTCTGCCTCGACAGACTCTTGTTCTAATTCTTCTTCGGAGTCATCTACTCCGGCTGGGTCATCTACCAAGAAAACCATCTAGATTATAGAGTCATCTACTCAACAATCTGCGATTCCTAAAAAAGACTCATCCAACAAGGCTGATTCTTCACAATCTCAAACTAAAATTGCTAAACAAACTAAAGTAGACTATGCTTTTCCCATCAATACTCTTTTAGCTATCCAACAAGGAAGCTTGAGTAGTTTACAAAAAAAGTCTTGGGCAAACATTGTATCTGAAGAAGATATGGAGATAGATTTAACTAGTCTAAACACTATTATCCAGTCCTTCACTCAATCCCAAAAAACAGTTAGTTATCCTAACAAAACAAAAAATACCCTCAACATTCAAAGGGATAAACAGAAGTCTTCAAACACTAATCATTATATGGCAAAAGAAAAATTTTCTCCAGTCATACAAATGGAGCCCAAATTTTGAGATAAAAATCCCTACAAAGCTATATCTAAAGTCTTTCCACCTGGTTTTCATTTTACGAATTCATTTTGGTGGATTCAGATTCTGTTTCTATCAAACATTACAAAGATAAAAAAGATCCTTCTATTATAACACATTCTATAATCCAGATTCTAAAAGTTTTAACACCTAAAACCTTTGAGAAAAACTTAAATTCTTACAAAAAGTTTTCTCAACCTTTTGACCGAGTAGGATATAATTACTGAGATTATATTGATGTCTGGACAAGAAGTTTCTGGTTCCAAAATAAACTTAACCGACATTCTTGGTTAATATATTTTAAGAGGAATCAGAGTTATGATTTTTCAAATTGGTTTCTCCAATGGTGGGGCTATTTTGGACTAATTGAAGATATTCTTCCTACACCAGTTAAAGAAGGATATAAGATCTACAAAGACATGTATCTGAGAGAATCAAGAATTCTTGCAGATCTTAAGTAGTTTTTTGATTTTGCTTTAGCTTGGGTATTCTCGTGGCAGTACCGGTATGGCAAGACAGAAAATGAAGAAACCCTTCCCATACTTCACAGACACTCCTTTGTGAAATGGTGGAACCAGTTCAATGCTGACCATGCTGGATCATCTGGTGTTGCAGAATATTTTGGAAAAAATCCAAAATTATTAAATTTGGTAGATCCAGCAACATTCCAATTTCTGAATCAAAAATCACAAATTGCAGCTTACTTATCAAGTTGTGACTAAAAAAAAAAAAAAGTTGAAGAAGAATTAAAAAGATGTTATTCTTCTCTTACAAAGTCAAGATGAAGCTGAATCATCTACAAAAGAAAGTAAAATATTTAAATGTTTAAATTCAAGGACTATGGTTAACGTAATACTATAAAAGAAAGTAATTTTTTTTTATTATTCAATGATAAAATATGTTTTGAATACAAGATTAACAAGATTCAACCTAAAAACTTAGATTAATATTTTTTTATATATTTATCTTTAGTAATAAAAGAATAAAATATTAATATTAATATTTTTATTATAGTTTTTTATTGTATATCGATTTTTATAAAATATTTTAATTTTTTAATTTTATTATCTTTAGAATATAAAATTATACTGCATATAAATTTGTTTAAAATATAATTTTTAACTTTTTAAGATTTTATAATTTTTAAATTTGAAAATATAACTTTTATTTATAATTTAATCTCTACAATTATCATTTATGTTTAAGCACTTACACAATTTTTTTTTAACGTTTTGGTCATTTTAATTTAACGTAGCTAACGTATAACAGTAGTAAAGACTAGTTATAACTTTTTTTTTTTTTACAAAATTTATAATTTAGTGAAAATAAAATTTACACGAGTGAACATTGCAATTAAACCTAAAGTAAAATAAAACGATGGTGCATTTCGGCCCGGAGTTTTGAGGAGTTCGAGCTGCATCTGAAAAAGAATGACTGAAGACAATTCCATTTCCTTTGACTTTCCCAGCAACCGCGGCTCAACTGTGGAGCAGTGCCAACGCATGATTCATAAGAGTCTCCTTTGTATCACTCTTACCATTCTTTCTTCCACATCACACCACAAACCTCAATTTCTTATTTGATTAACAAAATCATCTGTTTTTTGGAACAAAACTTCAACCTTCTAATTAGCGTTATTTCGTTTGATTCGACTATTAACATGACTCAGCTCCAAAGGTGAGGTTCTTGAAGGAACACTTGGAGAAAGCTGGGTGTTCTATAGGAGATAATTTCATCAAAGCTATTAAATGCGACGACGCTGGTGTAGCTGGTGGTTACACTCAGGGTCAAGGGGTACTTATTTTTCTCTAGATATACAGTTAATTATCATATGCTATTTTATTCATTCAATTGTTCGGGTACGAAAATGTGTATGGTGGCTTGAAAAGCAGAGCATGTTAATTCACGCGCTTCATGAAGCTAAGTTATCAAATATAGTGGTTGAATAATATAATATGATATTAGTGTGCTTTTGTATCAGATAGTTGTGTGCTGCAACGAGATGGAATCTCAAGATGATGTTAACCAGGTGTTAAAGCATGAGCTAATTCACGCATTCGATGATTGTCGTGCTGCAAACTTGGATTGGAGTAGTTGTGCTCACCACGCTTGTAGCGAGGTTCCTATGTGGCAACGTGTTCCTTACCTGTGTTATATTTGATGGATCTTAGTGTCCATTGATTAATATTTCTCGATGATTATGTGAAGCAGATAAGAGCTGGTCATCTTAGTGGTGATTGTCATTTCAAACGGGAACTTCTTAAAATGGGTTCTCTGAAGATCAAAGGGCATGAGCAGGTACACTAATGTTTTCCTTTCTATTTTATACAAACCATTTACTTCGGTTGAATGTTTTCAGAGATAATGTGTAGCAGCTTTTCTTTGTTTGTTTTATCTTTTTAAATCCAGTGATCAATTATAAAAAAGGGGTAAAGTATTAATGTATTTGGAAGAGGCCTTAGTCTAAAAAGTCTTGTAATTATTATTTGAAACAGCATTGGTAATTTGAACATCAAGAATGAAGTAACTTCTTTTTTTCTGCAAAAGAAAATAATTCATTTAGTTGAAGAGAAGATTATTACAAAAGGATGGAAGGACAAGGGTTGCACTTTAACAAAGAAGGAAAACACAGAATATAGAAGCAAAGCTATATGAAACCCCCTTTGAAGATACATTAGCTAGCTCCAACCAAATGCACCTAACTGTAGCATAGGTTGCACATTGTCACAAAAGCACTGCTTCTTTAGTTCCACCAAAACCATTAAAGCTGGTCCTTAGAAATTTGTTCAATGACGTAAGGCACACCCGGCGTTCACCAAAAGGGGAAACAAAATAATGAATTCCACGAAGATACATCAACAGAACAAAGTAATACTGGATGGGGAATTGAGTTTAAGCTTGCACCTCACATAACACACCTATGAACGGAATTAGTCTTAACTCTTATGTAGCCTATGAACCTGCAACGAGTATCATTAGTATTCATTCTGTTAAGCATTTCAGTTCAAATAAAATACTTTACCTATGAGAGTCCACAAGTATCAATATCAACAACTAAGCCTTATCTCATTAGGTGGGGTCGGTTACATAGAACACATGCACTATTGAGTTTGATCAAAAACTAAATTTTTAAAAATTTGGTTGAAAAAAAGGTCTCTTTTAATAACTTTGTCTAAGGTTCTTGGGTCTCTCTCGACCCTATTTTATTGTACTAAGAATTATATAATCCACTCTCCTTATTGGTATGCCTTCAAAGGTCTTTTCTGCGCATGAGTAAACCATTTCAGATGATTTTTAGTCATCATTTTTACTATATGTGCTACTCCAATATTCTTTCGTATACTATTATTTTGTATCTTATTTTTTCTCGTGTGTCAATTTATCCAACTCAACATTCTCATTTTTGTCACTTCTACTTTTTTCTCATATTGTTCTTTAAGGCCCAACATTATTCATTACCCTATAGAATAACTGGTAGTCGTATTGCAATACAGTAAAACTTTTCGTTCAACTTAATAGGTACTTTGTTGTTACAAATAACTCTTGATGCATTTTTCCACTTTAACTATACAACTTGTATTTTGTGAGTAACATATTCATTATTTTTTCCATTATTTTGTATAATTGAATCCAAGTAACTGAATTTGGAAACTTTTAGTATAACATTATTTCTAATTTTCACTTCTAACACATGATTCTTATCTTATTTTTTGTTAAACTTATAATGCATATACTTTGTCTTACTTCTACTCAAGTGAAAATCCTTTGATTCTAAAGTCTTCTTCCATAACTCAAGTTTAACATTAACCTCTTCTTTTGAATCTTCAATCAACAATATATCATTTACAAAGAGCATGCACTAAGGGATAATATTTGTATGTCACTTGTAAGCACATCTAAGACTAGATTAAATATGTAAGGGCTCAAAGCCAACCTATTCCTATTGAAAGTCCTTAAATACGTCTTCAGAAGTTCTCACACATGTAGTTCCCCTTTATACATGTATTGTATAGTTCAAATATATGCTACAAACCTTTTTTTTTTCCTAAAGCTTTCTATAGCACTTCTATTGGTACCCAATCATATGCCTTTTTCAAGTCAATAAAAATCATATGTTCTTTTTTTTGTAGCAATATTTTTTCATCATCTTTCGTAAAAGATATACAGTTTTTGTTGTAGATAGTCCTGGCATAAAACCAAACTGATTTTCTACAATCTCAATTTCTTCTTGTAGTTTAATCCCTCTATAGTTTGTATAATTTTAGATATCACCCTTGTTCTTGTATATAGGAACCAAAGTGCTTTTCCTCCATTCATCTAACATATTCTTAGATTTCAAAATCTCATTTAAGAGCTTAGTGAACCACTTCAGTCTTTGTTTTTTTCCATGTTTTCCAAATTATAGGGATATTATTGAGGTCAACCGCTTTACCATTGTCCATTCTCTTAATGCAGAGCAAGAATATACTAAGAAGAAAGAATAGAAAGGGGTAAAAAATGAAGAAATTCTGAGAGCAATGCTCCTCCAGCATGAGAGAATCTCTCTGGCCTAAAATATCAATTCAGATCCCTCTCTATACAAGTAGCACTCAATATAACAGAATTAGCTTGCACGGTCCTTCCCATCTTCACTTACTAACTTATTACAAATTTTCCCATCTGCCCCTAACTCCTGATTCTATTACAAAATAATTCTCTCTTCACACATTAAGGCCTAATGGGCTTGGATCTACGCTGATAGACCTTTCCCCATCTAGAGGACGAGGCACAATTCCTATCAACCACCTACCAAATTGTTCATCCAAAAGCTGAAAAGGGAACCATTACCCACATTCAATGAAGACAGAATTAAGGTAGCATAACAATGTGAGGTAAATTTCCAACATAAACTCAATTACTGTGTTGGCATCGCACTCATCTTGGCCTGTGCCATTATTTTTGGATAGCCCAATGGCAATGTGAAAGAGGTTCCAAAGGATATCACCATGTAGCCATTTTCTCACAAGAGTGATGTTCTTATATACCAAGACTAGTAGCCCCTTCCCTCTTAGGTCCACAACACCTTAACTCACCAGATGATCAAGTCTCATCTGATACACAACCAAAGAAAACTTATCTTCAATCTCTTTCTACTGTATGACAGTTTGCACTAGAATATGGAACACAAATAATAAAGACATGCCTAATGATTGTTATTGGAGGTTTGAGCCCCTAAAGAGAAATAAACCCCTTTCTAATCCCCAAGGAGATCTTAATTCTTAACAATTAGGTTCCATGATGAAACAGCTCCAAAATCACTCATGCATGATCTATTCTTAACAATATGTTCCAAAATAAAACACTAGGATTGCCACACATGACACATGCAGATCTCCCAAGGCCACTCCGAAATCTGAAAACCTGCAAATGAAGCAAAAGAGGAGAGTCTAAGAATCTACCATAATACCAACCAAATCATTTTTCAATTGATTAATTTTCATCCGAAGATCAGCTGGCAAAAGAGAATAAAAATAAATGTCTTATACCTCACCTCCTCAAACTTAAATATACACTTTTTTAACCCTGATACTTTGAAAATCTACAAACCGTACATTGTAAAATTTGTTTTGGAAAAGACTAAAATGTGCTCAAAAGTTTCAATTAATTAATTTTGCTTGTTAATAATATTAAATTCTTTCTCAGAGTTATTTGATAAACAGTGTTGACTTTGTCTTCTCACATATAGTAAATATTGTTGAGTTAAATGTCTAAGAAGTCTTTCCAGAATTCAGCAGAGAAATCTCTTTGGGAAGATGGTTTCTTTTTGTTCTCTCTTTGGTGTTTGGTACATTGTCTCTCGAAGGGAACATTCCTAGTAGACATCTCTTGTTTATTTATACATCTTTCTCTTCCTTCTCTTCCTAGTAAGACTTATTATATGACAAAAATTTGAATATTAAATTCAAAATTTTACTTTCAAATTGGCAAATAATGGAAGAAAATAGAAGTCATAATCTCTTATTTCTTTAGAGAACAACTAAAATGAACATTACACTGTTTGAAATAGTACTTCAGTGTTTTACTAGGAGATCCTGCCAAATTCGCATCCAAATACTCCACAACTTGAGCGTGTTTTTTGTCTTCATCTAAGCGATCTTTTCCTGAAGTTCCTTTAATATATTTCAAGATGTGAATTACTGCATCCTAAAGTCCTTCACAAGGATAGTTAAAGAGTTGACTCACTACACCAATTGCAAAAGAGATGTTTGGATGAGTAACAATCAGGTAGCTTAATTTTTCAAGTAATCTTCTGTACCTTTTTGGTTTGAAAGGAGATTCATGTGACTCAATGGAAGATTGATATTAGGGTTCATAGGAGTATCATCAGGTTTGACTCCTGTCAACCATATTTCCTCTAAGATATCCATCTTTGATAGATTCAAACATGTATATACTAGGAGAAAGAAGACTAGTAAAAAAAATAAAAGTGTAAATAACCAATTCTGTTAATAATGGACAGCTGGCTCTGTTAGTAAATAAATATGAGCACAGATAGTTAGTTTTCAGTTTTTTCAGTTGGAATAGAATAGGCTGGTCTGGAGAGTGAGGTCTCTCGAATCACCTCAGGTTATTGAATTTTGTAATCATTTTTCCTATTCCTAATCTGTACCACATTGGTGTAGCATTGGGGATTAGGTTCAATAATAAAGACAGTCTTTCATATTCAGTTTAAACATTGGATTCTATCAACTGGTATCAAAGCACCGATCCTGGTGCAGAACGACGATCTTGGGAGAAATTGATGCATGGGAAGAACGAGAATGGAGGCAAGGGTTGAAGCCTTGGAGCGCACATTGCAGAACTGGAATCGTGATCGTGATTTACAAGAAAATGTGCAAGACGCAAGATTTCAGAAGTTGGAAGATATGATTTCAAATCTCACAGAAGTTGTAGGGGAATTGTCGCGGAGGAATCAAAGTCATGGAAAAGATCGCAGTCCAGAAAGAGATTACAGTCATGAAAAAGATTCTGATTCAGCACAAGAACAATCGAGTCTAATAAAGAATACACAATGGCGAAAACTTGAAATTCCTATTTTTATGGGTGACGAGGCATATGGATGGACGAATCGTTTAGAGAGGTATTTTCGACTGAAGGGAGTTCAAGAAGAAGAAAGAATGCAGGCAGTTATGGTAGCAATGGAAGGAAAGGCACTGAATTGGTTTCAATGGTGGGAATCTTGCAATCCCAATCCTACTTGGGATTCATTCAAAACAGCGGTAGTAAGGCGATTTCAGCCAACTCTAATGAAGAACCCT